TAATTCACTTAAAATTCAATCTGAAGAGAACGATAAAGTAGAATTTATTTTATCTTTGATTGATGCTGATTTTGGAATATTGCCATCAAGAAGATTTATATGTTGTGGGCCAATGTACTTAACTAATAATTTAGTTAGTAAGCCAACACAATGGAATTATTTCTTTTTGTTCAGTGACAGATTGATTGGGACTGTGATCAAGAAGTATCATGGAAAAGAAGTTAGAGATGAAAAAATGATGGAAGAAGCAATAGAAGAAATTAATAAAATTGGTGATTATCAACAGTTACAAGACTTCCAATTTGCTAAAGAGATTGATGCTTTATTTACTGAAGGAAGTGGAATATACCTTATTGAAGATTGTGAAATGGTAAAGAATATGGTTAGTTGCAAACTAAACCAAATTCCATATAAATTTTCATGTGAAACAAAAGAAGAGTGTGAAGCATGGAACTCATTAATATTTGATCAAGTGGAACGTGTGAATGCCTTAGCTAAAAAGAAAGTTGAAACAGTTAAAGCTAATAAATAAAATTCATTGGGTAAAGAAAAGTCAAACAATGACTTGATACATTTATTTTGATTTTTTATTTGATAATTAATGATAAACTAATGTCAATAATATTCTATAAAGTTAAATTCTAAGAAGCATAAAATTAAATAAAATTTATTGTCTGTTGAAGATTGAATTATCAATCAGTATTAGTTAGTGTCAATGAACAAAATATTTTTAATAATAATTATTGTTCTTATTCATATAAGATATAGAAATAATAAACATTTTCTTTCTCTCCTTAAAGAATTACAAGATAGAACATAATTTAAGTAAAGATAAAAAAGTAATTGTTTTATTATAAAAATAGATATAATTTGTTAATACAAAACAATACTTGAATGTCAAATAAAATAATAAAGTTATGTGTATGAAAATATAATAATAATTTATGTGTTTTTATTAGTTTTGTTTCATTACATCATAAAAGAGAATATAAATTATATAATTTAAATAACTTGAATATAACTCATAACCAGAAACAAAACAAAAAAATATAAAATAAATTAATTCATTGTTTTTAAAAATTGATGAAGTGATTGATAAATGAGTTGCTTTTGTTTAATAGATAAATTGAATTCATAAAATATTGGTTTTAAAGGAGGGAATTTTGTAATGTATTTAACGTTTTTAGATTTGAATGTTAAAGCAAGATAAGTTTCTACTACAAAAATTTGAATTTGTTCATGAATTATTACGTTATTCAATACCTCTTTTGGAATAAATTCAATATTAGAATATGGAATAGATGTTGACTCTTTAATCAACTCAATTCCTTTAGATTGGTCAGCAATAATAGTAACTTTTAAATTTAATATTATGATTCTCTTTAAGAATGTTATAAAAATAAAACAAACCTTTATTAATTGAAGTTAAAAATTTATAAATTGAATACACAAAAAGTCCTATTAAACACCACATCCCATAATTCAATAATTCTGTTCTAACTTGATACAAATACACGATTAAAACACTAGCCACCAAAAGTAGACCACCAATTTTAAAAAATGAAATCTTCTTTGTTTTTTCCACTGAAATTTGAAGTGTTGTAGTTGAAGGATTATTGATAGAAATATTTACGTCAGTCATTACTTTATTAGTTCCATTCTTCTTTTTAGAAAAAAGTTCTAACCCTATTTAAATAACACAACTCTTGTTATCAATTATTTTTTGTTACATTTTGTTAATTTAATATTTTTAATCTTTCTTATCTATTCAGTATTTATTTTTAAAATGTTAGAAAATAAATATATCAATTATAATTTAATATGCTTTTTTGTTTTTCTTGTTTTTTGTTTGAGTTTTTGGAAGTATTAAGTCTTACAATGAATGGTGTTATATTTTTTTACATAACTTCCAATACTATAGATTTGACTCTTTTCCAATGTATTAAATATAACAAATGTTATTTCAATGGATATTATGTAAAACCTTTGGTTCTTGTAAAGAAAAGC